ATTCAAATCGCACACGCGGCGGCCCATGCATACTGGATGTACACAAGATTATAGTTGTCAACATGGGGGATCAAACCCTTGACCTCCCTTCCGGTCACAAAGGGTGGGAACATCTGAGCTATCTCTCAATTCTGTTTCACAAATGATTCACCCGTCAATTACTTTATACCACCTCACTCCCTTAGACCTGAATCAAGCAATTTAAATACGACCACTAATTAAAGCTAATAAGCTGCCAATACGCCAATAGACAAAGGGTAGGAGTCATATTCATCCCTATATGGATTGAATGCACCGTTGTATGGACTCTTACATATGAGCAAGAAGAAATCAACGAAAGTCCCATGTTGAAACATGACTGAATCCAGGAGGGAGTATGGGTAATATTGAACTAGAGTACAAGTTCGAATGATTTATGCAGAAAATACTGACACGATCAAGCCCCAGCCAAATTACGAACAGAGGGAGTATAGCATAAGCGTCGAAGACCCACCCAGAAAATAAGAATGCGGGGAAATGGAAAAAAAATTGAACGGGCTAGGCTTAATTATATAAAACTGGAGTACATATATAAGTTCCGATGACCTCAGAAAATACGCCAAGCCCCGGCCTAATAAAATACCGAACAGAGGGAGTATCACGTGAAAATACTAGGGCAGAGGGAGTATATAACATAGAGTCGATGAATGCGGAACCCCAAAGTCAAATTTTTCTCTCCGTTGCACGCACGGGCATATGTGCTAGTCTAACTAAATAAACATGCCCAGAAAGCATATCACACTATTCCCCTATCAATAAACCGAAAGAACCAACGAAAACCATAGATTGAAAGATAGGTGCACCAGTTCATATATGAAAGAATCATAATCACCTACTGCCACGCTTCGCTCCTGCTGCACATGACGATGACGATGATCCGCGGCTCCTCATCGACGATCTGTGTGTCGATGACACTCAGGTTAGTGACGATCTACAGCTTGTTGTCGATGATCGAGAACAAATAGATGGATCAACCTTGAACAAAAAGATGGTATAACAAGTAACTGATGATACTTCTGATTTATGTACTTGTACAATTGTCTAAGCCGTATTTGGTATTTGTGCTTGAATATAAACATTTATACAATGGGGGGGGGGGGGCATTGGTGCTCTGTCTCTAAATTTGGGTGGTAGTCCCCTCTAGCCCTACCCTAACTAGAAGAAAGTTTTTTCTTTCCCATTAGACACTCCAGTCATGAAGCCCACGAACTAAGGTTTATGAAAATTTCAGTGGAAGTGTAAAAATACCTAAGAATGCAAACAACGTCGAAATCATATAACTACCACAATGGCATGATCACACAACTCAATATGGATGAACCAAGAAAGGTCCTCTGACATTCAGGCTACAACGAAAAGCCACTCATATGATCCATAAAGAAAAAAAGTATCCAAAATAAAGAGAAGGTTAGATATGCACTTGTCCCATCTCCAGCAACCGACAATTGATCAAGCAAAGGATGTCATAGACAACACTAGACAAACAACGTGGATCCAAAATGGTTATTTTTCCCTAAAAAATGGCCACTGCCAGGCTCTATTGACACAAGCTAGGCAAACTAAATATAAGTCTTTTTTTAGAGATTTCAATAAGAACTACATAAAGATGCATATAGACCTATTTTAAAGTGTAGATTCAATCATTTTATATAGTCCATATTGAAATCTCTAAAAGGTCTTATATTAAGGAACACGGGGAGTAGTTTCATATAGCAAGATAACTAAAAGCAACGTGATAATTAGAAAACAATAAGAGAAAGGCTAACCCGGATGAGGCAGCACAATGAACTGTCCCATAAGCGCGAGGCCTATAAAAGCATCTTCAATAGTTGCCCTATTTTACGATGCAAAAAATAGGTGTTATAAAAAAATTTTGGGCACCAAAACAGATTATTTTTTTGGCACGAGCAAGTGTCATCTCCAACATTTGCCCTATAATGGGGCATCTCACTGCTCCCTACTTGACCCAAACTGCATCTACTGTCGATTCCGATTTATCTGTTGAAACTGAATTTAGTTGTCAATTTGGGCGTTAAGTGGCAACTGTTGATTTGCACTGTATGAAGAAGTACAGAGAAGGAGCAGGAACACGCCACCAGAGAAAAATTGAAATAGCTGCCTGAACAAATGTTTATTTGCACTGCACGAACAGGTCTCTGAAAAACCAAATTGAAAGAAGCACTATTCAGTTGGTAGCAAATTGAAGTTGCAAATTCGGGCGCGCGCAACCGCTCCCATGTTCAGATAGGAGCACACATGTTTAGCCGACGCGCAGCACGGCGGCGGCTCCCTCGGGTGCGCAGCTCGGACGGACGCAGATGAAAGACCAAAGTCAAGCAATCAATGTGAAAAAATATTGAGTTCAGTTCAACCAAAACAGCATATACAGAACCACCTCACTGAAAGACCGAATTCGTTGTCGATCAGCTATATGAGGAACACTACGAATTGTTCCTTCTCTAACTAAATTAACCGGCCCCAAAAACATATCACTACTCAGTATTCACCTATCGATAAACCGAGAAAACCATAGATTGGAAGATGGGCGCACTAGGTCATAAAAAAAACACAATCACCTAGCTATGTGGCTTTGCTCTTTGCTGCACATGTCCGTGACCATCCGTTGGAACTGCTGTGCGTCACAGGGGATCCTGAGGACGCCGGGCTGGCCGTATCCGAACTGTTCCGCGGCCATCTCCAGCAGCGCCGCCATGCACGGCTCCTTTAGCGCCCCGATAAGCACCAGCACCCTCTGGTCGCCGTCCCCACCCTCGCCCACCAGCGCCAGCGGGATGTACCCCTTGGGGACCTTTCCTCCGTCGCCAGGAGCGGTGAGGACGTATGCTTCGGCCGTCTCCTTCCTTCGCCAGGCGGCCATTGCTGTTGCTATTCGGTGGGTTGTGCGTAGATAGCTAGCACGGAGCTGAAGGTGTTAATGGTTTGATGACGGTCAATCGTGCGATGATGTCCAGATGATGATGCTGGAGAGATCCCTGCCATATGCTTTTATAGTGTGATGAGAGAGGAAGATCGTCCCGGGTTAATCGATCAGGATGTGGTTGTTGATTTCGGAAACGCGACGCCAAGATCCAGCAGTAAGTGAGTTTGACAAGGGGTTCAGTTCAGATGGTTAACGTAGGCTATGTGACAAGGTGTTGCGATGGTGACTGCGAGCGTGGACGATGGGCTCTGATTCCGGCCGTAGTGATTACTAGTCAAACCATCTGCAAATGCTCCCAGTCAACAGAAAAAAAAGTACTATAATTCTCCCTCACAGTACTATTACTAAAACTATGCTACAATTAATATGGAGTGCGGCTTTGTTTTTTTTTTAGCATCAGTACAGACACAAGCGCTCATATACACGCGCATACACTTACTCCTATAAACGCACACACGCACACCCTACCCCTATGAGCACCTCCGAGAGACTGGGTCGGCATATCATCTTGAGATTTACGAAGTCACCGTAAGCGCCTCGTCGTCGACAGGAACGTCTCCTCCCACTGAAAGCGCATCGCCGGAAATCCTGAAATAAATCCAGGAATAATGTCCATCTAACCAACTTAACCACAGGTTGATTCGCGAGTGCGGCTTTGTTTTACATGCTGGTCTTGCGTGAGACGAGCTTTTGAGCTCGGCTCCGCCCAACAAGAACATAGGCCGAGCCGAGTCGATCTTATTTACTTTTTCTTAATCTTATTTATTACTTCTTTGTGCCTCTGAGACAAGTCCAGCTCGCCGCATTTGAACCCGTGCACTAATTTGATGAGCCGGCCTATGTAGCTATTTCTGTTTTTCAGTGTTTTTCTTTTTTATTTGTTTTGTTTGTTCAGATTTCATTTTTCATTTTTTCTTCTTATTTTCTATTTTATGTTTTTTAACTTCTCCTTTTAAAATACATGAACACTTAAAAATGGCATTATAATTTATGAAAATGGGAGCACTTTAATAAAATTAAATATTTTATAAAATTAGTAAATGTTTTTAAAAATAAATGAGTGTTTTTAACAACGTGACCATTTTTAATACCCATAATAAAATTATTATTTGTAAATCCGCCAACACTAAATCATTTTCTCCTAAACTAAAAACTGACGGGAAGACCGATGGAAAACCAGACAGAAGCCTAAAATGGGGTGGCTCATAATTGCTCGGGTGCTTGTGCCTATGCAATTTGTCTTAATTTGTCTTAGTATATTCTTAGCTTCTACGAATCTGGATGTAATTTTTATTATTTTTGGTGTTCATTATACTGTAATGTTTGAAGATGAATAGATTAAAAAAATTCTCGCAAAAAAAGTTGGTGAATAGGATCACTCTGCTCACACCTTGCTAAGCACGAGCCACCTCACACGTTCTTCCCCGCACTCCTCACACGCGTCCTCCTCACTAG